AATACTCGCGAACTATGGTAATGATTTCTCCAACTCACGTCTTTTGTTTTAGAGCTAATTTAATAGGTTACATTTGAAACTTCATCAAAAGACAACGTGACCTTGTAACTGCGGTAAACAAATTTTTTTTTTTTTGAATTTAGAACTGTTTAACTTTTGTTTAAATTTTTAAGGCATATTTATTGTAATAATGACCATCGAACGTTGTTACAATGTTAGGTCAGTGAACTTTTTTCTTTTTAATTACAAAGGATAGTCGAACGGTAAAAATAAATTCAAGCCACATATGTTTGAAGTCCATATCGATTTACTCAATTTAATCGATGTTTTCAAGCAGATCACATCACTAAGCTAAAACTGACAGATTTCAAATGTAATCAATATCGTCATCCCTTTCATTATCTTTGACAAAACAGAGATAACAATATATTTTAAATTGGGATTTCAGTTTCAAAACCCCTAGGTAAATTGGTCTTGCTTTTAACATTCATTATTTACTCCCAAGTTGTAAGAACGTTATGGGGAAATATCGTGATATTCGTTTTTACAGTTACGACGCAAAGCATTGGTGATAAAATAAATTCGCTTTTATGTTTAGTATATATTTTATAATATTCCTGCCGTCTATGAAAATCTAAATGTCCTATTATAATAGTTCCTTTCTGTTGTAAAATGAGGGAATTTATTATTATTTTATTAGGAATTTACGTGTAGAACCTTTTTTTTAAATATTTGAATCCATTTATAATTAAATGTCATACGATTGTCATATTTTAAATGTCATTGTCATCGAAAGAGCTTATAAGAAAAACAATTTGGATATTAAAACAAAAACAAATTAAAAGCTTAGAAGGAATATCTTTTAGCATGGGGCTGTATCTCCTATTGCGAACTTGAAGATGATGAGAGGTATTTTTAAGTGCCGTTGAGCAAACATGTCTACGAGCGTAGACCCAGAGCCTGTGTGCGCACCGTACAACTGGGTGGATAGTGCGGCGGTGTACGACAAGCGCGGCGAGCTCGTGCCCGTCGAACGCCTGCGCCGCGCTCCCGCTATCGCCCTCCTCTTCACATCACGCGGCGTCGACAGAGAAGGCGTCGTAGCGCGTTTCTGCCGCATCTACCAGGACATCAGCCACCTCCACCTGCCTTTCGAGGTGATCTACGTGCCCATGGACGACACCGCAGAGGACGCGGCGGCCTCTTACG